TATCTTTGTTCGTCTGGAGATTCCTCTGCAGCATAACTTAATGGTTGTTGAGACAAAGGAAGGCTGGCAGTAAACAAAACATGTGAGTAAAATTTATAGTATGATGATGAGAGAATAATAATTGAGTACCAAAGGGAGTAATATTAAAAAACTGTTAGAGAAGACCTCGCTGAAAAAGGGTCATTTGTGTGGGTACTAGAATATGGTGAAGGCGTAAGCTATGCAGCTATAGGGAAAGAACATTCCAGACAGAAAGAAAACTAGGAACAAAGATCCTCAGTAGAGGATGTATAACTTATGAGGCCTTAAAGCTGTTCTTTTGATTTTTGAGTTGATCTGTGAAGCCAATGGGGGATTTGAGCAAAGCTCAAATGTGACATGGTATGACCCTCACTGATGTGTTAAGATTTACACAGGGGAATGAGGTTGGGGAAGAGGGGCTGTGAGTGGTCAGGAGAAAAGCCGAGATGCAAGTATGAGGGTACTGCAATAATTTAGGACCATCCTGAAAGTTGTGGAGGAGGCGAAAAATCATCAGATTCTGGGTATATTTTGAAATTAGAGCCTAATATGAGTGTGAGAAATAGAGAAGAATGATTCTAATATTGTGTGTGTGTGCATGTGCACGCATGTGTGCAACTGGAATGATAGAATTACAATGTATGGGGATTATTGTCTTCCCTGGACAATAATCCTTGGAAATGGGGATTATTATAAGAGGAGAGGTTTGGGAAGGGAAGACAAAGATACCAGGTTAGAAAATCTTAAGTGTAAGATGCCTATTAGAGATATATAGGAAGATGGTGAGAAGTCAGTGGATAAATCTGGAGTTCATGAGTAACTTGGCTGGAGAAAAAATTTTGGAATTATCAACATATGGATAGGATTTAAAGATATGAGAATAGATGAAGTCACAAACACACACAATAAGGTTATTTTCTGACATGCTTTAATTTGGAAGACAAAGATAAAGAATTTAGAGTAAATGAGGTGTAAATAGGTAAGTCAGTGAGTTAGAAGGCAAACCACAAAGGATAGTGTCCTGCAAAGTTTTGCTTACGGAGGGAATTCTCAGTTCTGAAAATTGCTGCTAATAGCTCAAGTTAGATGAGGACTATTAGATGTAGCATTTAGGTAATTTATGACTTAGGAAAAGTAGTTTCAGTGGAAATTTTGGGGGGCAAAAACCTGATAAGAGTGTGCTCAAGGAGAATGGAAAGAGAGAGATTGAAAGCAATAATTAAACACGCTATTTCTCTGTAAAAATAACACAGAAATAGGGCAATATTAGGAAAAAATGGGATCGAAAGATTTTTGGAAGATGAAAAAGTGACGGCATGCTTACATGCTGATGGAAACATTTCTTTAAAAAGAGGATGGTGATATCCTTAAAAACACAAGGGGAAGAGTCAATGTCATATGTAAGTGGAGATTGGCCTTAGCTTAAACTTGGGTAATTCATGAAGGTAGACCATGTGATACTGGGGCTTTATGTAGATAAGTATGGTCAAGGAAGCTTTTGAAGTTTCTTCTTTATTTATTTATTTATTTTTCAGTCAAATAGGTCATCAGCTGAAGGTGGGGAAGAGATGTATTAGAATTTCAAAAAAAAAAAAAAAAGATGAAGGCACAAAATACTCAGAATGCAAAATGATGTAAACGACTTCTTGGCAAAATAAAAGGTCCATTTGGGCTTCCTAATCACACGTTTAAAGTCAGCATGGTTGAGAGATTTTCCTCAGTTACATTTAGCTTCATGAGGGAAATGTGCAGTTATTTGAGAGTTAAATTTCATCAAGATTGTGGCTTTCACATGCAATTAAAATAATGCAAAATAGTCAAAATTACATGAAATTATATAGAAGAGAGTGATTACCATGACCATTAAATTAACCCAGATGTATAGATAAGGAACAGTGAAATCTCCGGCAAAATCAAATTGTAAGTTATATATCCTGGTCAGTGGAAGCATGTGGATCTAGGGTGTTACTGAGTGTGAGCTAGGAATGATAAAGAGTGGTCCTCCAATCTTTGATATTATGGAGAGATTACAGTGGTGTGAAGTCTAGGATATGCCCATAGCAGTAGGTAGAAGCCAAGATCATTGAGCAGAAGGCTAAAAATTAAAAAAAAAAAAAACAGAGAGAATTAAAAAGATTCTGTTCATGGTCATCACAATCATGAATAATTAAAATCGTAGTAGCATTTTGAGAGAATGGCTTTGAATCGAGAGCTAAAATTGTCATGAAATGAGTGGGAATGACTGAGGGTTGATAGATGATTTCAATAAGAAGAATAAGTGATAGAGTCTTTTAATATGAGATCCAAAACTGTGGATTATGAGTGTAAAGGGTGGGGAAATGTAAAGGAACTAGCAAAGTGAGGCAGATTGGAAACCAGTCCATCTGGTTTGCAGCAATATGGGGGATAAGGCAACCCCTGTGTATCACTGCTGTGGGAGAGGAGTGTCTCAGGGAAGACCAATTTTTAAGTTCAAGCCAGAAGTGAAGCAAAATAACTTGGAGAAGAGGTAAAGGTAAGGGGAGTTTCAGTCATGATTAGTGATGAGTTCCAGAAAACTCAAGAGAAGAATTTCAGTCCAGGATTGGGAGCGAGAGAGAAGATGAGGGCAAAAATAGGAATGTGCAGAGCCTTATGGGGATTAGAGAAGTGGTGATGAGTCATCAGGGAATCCTTACCTTCTTTTAGTGGTCACTAACATAAGAGAGATAATTGCCATGGTAATATTGGTCTTGATGATGCCAGAGCTTTGAGCATTGGTGGGTACAGAAACATGTTTGGAGAATAATATGTAGAATAGGGGTTCTTTCCAGGAGAGTGTAGCTTTCTGGAGCTGTCTCTTAATCAGCACCAACGGAACTGAAATGGTCAGGTACTGGCGGATCTGCTCTGAGCCTGATGGTTCCCTCTTGAGGTGTGCCTGTGGTACACACATGAGAACTCTGGGGCTAAAACCTATTGGACATATCTACAGGATACAGATCTCAGAGATTTTATTTGTACTCATTTAATATAAATTAACTGCTTTAAAAATATATAATATGCAAATCTCATACAATTAGTCTAATTAGGTATTGAATCTATAATGTGCCAGGCATTATGTAAGGCACTTTACATACACTAAATCTTTATTCCAAATATTGACTTCCTACTTTATAGATGAGCGCACTGATGCTCAGAAATGGTAAATAACTTACTGATGTTTATACTGCTGGTACGTAGCAGAGACATATTGGCATTTAAGTCTTTCAGACTTCAAAGGGCATGATATTTCATCAGAGCTGTGATAGTTGTTCCTGCAAAAAATTCAGCTGATTCTTTCAATCATTTTTGTCATCTAATTGATGCATGACTGTTAGCATAATATTGATCTTGAAAGATGTTTCACAACATCTTTCCCCTGGTGTACTCTTGTTTTTCCATGATCCCACAAAATGAGCAGTCTAATTATTTACACAATTAGGAAGAGAAAAGGGGCACAGAGAATGCTCTTTGATTTCTGAAAATATTGAAGAATTTTACAACTGGCACCTTTAGCTTAGGATTAAAAAGGTTGTTAGTTTGTACTGTTTTATCTTCATTGTATATAATATATATATTAGTCTCCAAACATGTTGATGTGTTTTCAATGAAATAGGTGTCTGAGGAGAAAACCATTATCCTGAGAAAACCCAAACTGTATTCCCATTGTGAATAAAAGGAAGTCCATAAAAATGATGGAAAATGTTCTGCATTCCTGCTATGATATCCAAATCTGGCAGTACGTGAAAATTTTTCAAAGTGCTTATTTAAAAGGCATAATCTTTGGTCTCCTGAGCCAGAGTCTGCTGGGTATGGGACTGGATTGCTATTTTGACAACTCGCCAGTAGATTCTTACTCAGCAGAGTATTTGGAAGCCTTACTCTAATGTTTTGGCCTTGGGTCTACATTTCTCAGTTTTGCACAATCATTCTTCCCCTCTACACTCTTTAGTTTGTCTCATGATTCCAATACTCTCAATAATTAACCAAGAATAGAACTAATCAATCAGATGACTGTGACACAGACATCAAATACATTTTGCTGCAACCATATCAACAAATGTCCCATGAATGATAAGGAGTAACCATATTCTCATATATGCATCCTCACATTACCACATATATATGTGTATATATGTGTCTAAATGTGTGTATATATGTATACATGTATGTTTGTGTGTATATACACACACATATCTTCACACTTTTCTGAAGTATATATGTTTATGTGAGAGAAGGGTCTGTACTTTATTTCAGAAGAGAGCTTAATGTCTGAAGTATATGGGAGTCTAAAATGTTTGAGTTATTGAATTAATTAAACTTCATCTCTACTCAAGAAAACTTTAACTGAGTTAAGCTCTTCCTTTCTCCAAAAGTCAAGTCAATAAAAGGAAACTGTGGTATTAATAATTCTTTCAGGTTTTGATGTAAAGAATCTATCGTACAAAGCAGTCTTAATTTTTGTCATTCAGAAAAATGGTATTGCAGTTAATTTGGACTTTCCTATTCCAGATGGTATATCCAGTCTCCATATATACCATATTAGAACCATACCTATGTACCAAGCAAAGAGGGTATATTTTAATTTGTAAATGCCAGTGTAACCTGTAAGAATATTTTTATGTGTCTTAAATTATTTCCTATTTGAAAGTTTTGAGTACCTTGAATAATTTATTGTATTCGTATTTTTAAAGAAAAAAATCTTATGCCACCAACTTGATTGAATAAACAAGTAAAAGCCATTCCCAAAAGTAAGGTTGACTTGTTAAGATTAACATAAAATAATGTGAGAATTCCGAGAAATATAATCTTTAAATATTGGCAGCTGGGGTGAACTCTTAAAACTAACTAGGTTTTATCTGTTTGACTAGAGCAATGACATAATAAGATGGTTAATCATCACTGGACTTGTTTTCAAAAAGCCAACTATTTTAAGAGGAATAAAGGGTGGACTTGTTGCAGTTGCTGTAGGATTCTAAGTCCAGGTAAGAACCATTGAGATTCTCTAATTTTAACGTATATTTTATGTAAGAAATTTTCACTAATTTCATGGAAAAAGATTTTGATGGTCTTGATAAATATTACAAATGTTATGCTCTGTGTCTCCCACATGCTTACATTCTGAGTTCTCAAAACATAGTAAATACTCCTTCTGGGAGTAGAAGAGCCTCAGATTTTTATACTGGTAAAAATAAAGTAGAGAAAATAATACCTTTATATATTTAAATATAAAGTTTCAAATCTTGGTCTTATTAATTTCTCAACAAATAAAAATCAAGTCACAAAAATGAAGCTCTAGTTACCTTCTTAAAATATGCTACAGGATAATTATTTTTATCAACTACATTGACTGATCACACTAGACTCCTTATTTCTTTGATGTCTTCTTAGCTGGATGAAGGCGGCCAAGGGTGGGAGTAGAGGGAAGAGTGAACTGGCAAACATAAAAAAAATAGGTGTCTCAAAGTCACATAACCACCTCAACTTCCTTATTTCAACTTAAGTTTGATACAGGGTGAAGGGAAATACATTTTCTAGATAATTTATCTCCAATTAAATAAGCAAAAAGTGTTCTCAGCACAGTTTTTGGCATGAACTAAGGCCTCGATAAGTATTAATTCCCTTCTCCAATTCAGAAAAGTGTCTGCCTTGGTAAGACAATTGTTTTTATTGTGAAAGTAAGGTGGAGATGGGGGATGTCTCCCCTATAAAAGGTCTAAGAAATTAGCAAATGCTGTTTTTCCTTTTTGCTCCTCAGTTGCATAGGTACATGGTAGAAATTGGGTCACTTTGCCTAAACTAGTTTTCTATAACTCATTAAGTATTAAAAGCTTGACACAGATAAGTAGAGGCTGATAAGATTCTGCCCTGCACCCTACTCCTATCAGATTTGGAAGAACTGAATTATTCAGGAAAGACATGCAATACTAAATCCAAATGCCTATGGCTCTATCTATCTTATAAACAAACGGTGCCCTCAAAATTCATTTATGTAAATCATTTGAAGTTTAAGACAAAAAAATATGTTCAGAGAAACATATGTTAAATGTCAAGGTGAATTAGAAAGTGTGGCATTTAGTCAAGCCTAAATTAGTATTCCAACTTTCTAGTTACTTTGTAGTCACTTATTTAACATTTTGGTGATGAGAGGAACAAAGTGTCCACCTTTTTTTTCTCCATATTTTATCTGAAGATCTAGGAGAGAGATGTGGAATAGTTGTCTGGGAAAGTAGGGGAAATACAAAGAAAAGTAATGACTTTAGGTATATTCTCCACTGGCACAGCAGGGTGAGAGATAATATCAACAGGAGGTAAGTATGAAAATATTGAAGAGGTACAATTTGGATCAGCATTACAACCAAGAGATGGAAAAGGACATTCAGGATTGAAAGAAACATACAGGAGGGCAGAAAGCTTTCTTCTTGGGACTGTAGTTTGATGTGTCTGCAGGTGCTATGGGTATTTTGAGAATGGTTCTAAAATCACGGGCTTGGTTTAGGTTGTGAAGACCCTCAAATAGAAACTATGAATTTTATTTTGTGTGGTTAAAGGGATCTTTGAAAGATTCTTAGGATAAATACATAGGATAGAAAGAAAGGTGGGAGACAGGACAAACAGAAGTTAATCAATTGAAATAAACCAGGTTTGGAGTGGTGGGACAATAGCCTTCAAGACTTCAAGAATATTTGTTAGTAGAGAGAAAATAAAAGCCTAAAACTAAGGGAAGAGTATCCACCTTGCAAGTCATACAAAGATATTTGCTATTACATAATTTTTTTAAAAAAAAGGATTTCCTAATATTTAAATTATGAAGAAAGAAATAGAAACAGATATTCATGGAAAAAGTGGGGTGAAATTTATCAAAGGACAGCTTACTACCTTGAGACTACCCAGTCATTGACTTTTTCCTCACTCACTGAACCCAGAAACCCGACCCAGGTACAGGCATGCATAAAACACACACACACACAAAATGTAATAATTGGAGTTCACTTAGAGGTACACATATATGGGTTTCTGTATTCAACCATATGTTTATATATACTCACATATACATAAGTGATAATATCCTATTTATTGCTTCCACATTTATGCACTATCCCTTAAATATGTATTATAATATTTATATTATTCAGAATCAATAAGCCCTTGTTGAATAAATTAGTGAATGAAATATGGAGTCGAGCCGCATTATTCACAAATTCTATGTAAGAAAATTTATCTACTCACTAAAATTCCTTTGTGACATCAAAATCAATACTGCTGGGCTTTCATGGGCATTCACATGC